CTTGCCTTTTCTTCTCCTGTGATTTAGTATTGCCTGCCCTTTCATGGTTTCATGCTTTCATTATCTGTGTGCAGAATTCCTTGGAAAATCTTTTGTAGTGGTGGCTTGGTGGTCATATATTGTTTTAATTTCTGCTTATCATGGAAGACTTTTATGGCTTCATGTATTTTGAAGGGTAGTTTTGCTGGGTAAAGTAACCAGGGATTGAAGTTATTTTCATTCAGTGCTTGGAAGACCTCACTCCATGTTGGGTGGGGGTACATTGTGGCATTTGCAAAGGTTCTTACAATGTATCAAATATACTTGAATTCACCCCCTCCACTGCTCTCCTTCATCCCCACTCCCCTGATTCCTGTGGAACAGTTTCAACAAGTATCATCTTTGCATTTACATATATATATATATATATATATATATATATATATATATATACATTATTTGCACCATATTCATCCTCCTACCCCTTTCCCCACCACCTCCCCCATCGTACTGGTGTCAACCCCACCCCCAGACAGAACCTGTTCTACCCTCTGAATTTGTATAAGGAAAAACATAAAAGATAATAAAAGAAACATGGCATTTTTGCTAGTTTGAGATAAAGATAGCAATGCAGGGAGATTCTCTGTGTTGTTTCTGTGCATATATGTATTACAAATGAAATCGGTTCATTTCTACCAATCTCTTCACTCTTCCTTCGTCCCCTTCCCATGTGGCCCTTGCCAGATTTCTGTATTCATTCCTATATTCATTGACCACATTTGAGTTTTTGGTTTCCTTACCTTGCCCTATCCCTCCTGTGCACTGCCTCCCCTTAGTGTGACCTGTGTCCTATAATAGTGCTTTATTTTTTTTTAGGCCTATAATCCACATATGAGGGGGAACATGTAACTAGGCATTGTTTTCTAAATCATCAGAAAGGTATAATTAACTAATAAATATTGTATATATGCATTTATGATGTACAGTGTGATGTTTTGACATATGCGTACATTGTTAAAAGACTTTTTCAATCAAGATGATTAACATATCCATCACCTCAGTTAGTTATTTTTGACTTTTGTGGTTGAGAACTTTGAATATCAACATTTTTAGCAATTTTAATGTAGCATATGATATTATTTCACCATGCTGTACAATATATCTCCAGAAATATTTAAGCAATGTTTTGTGTGGTTTCTAAATAAAACTGTTTTTTTTTTCAACTTAACTCTTTTATTTTATTTTATTATTCATATGTGCACACAAGGCTTGGGTCATTTCTCCCCCCTGCCCCCACCCCCTCCCTTACCACCCACTCTGCCCCTCCCTCTTCCCCCCACCCCTTCAATACCCAGCAGAAACTATTTTGCCCTTATTTCTAATTTTGTTGTAGAGAGAGTATAAGCCATAATAGGAAGGAACAAGGGTTTTTGCTAGTTGAGATAAGGATAGCTATACAGGGAGTTGACTCACATTAATGTGAGTCAACTTAACTCTTATCAGACATTATTTTTGAGCTTTTTGTGATATATTCATGTTTGCACATTTAGCTATAATTCATTAATTTTGATGCCAGTACATTATATCCTATGAGCATACTATAATCTGATCATTCATTTCTATATTGATAGCTATTTCAGTTGTTTGCAGTGTTTACTTATTTACATTTCTACTATGACCTCACTAGCATATGTCTCTAGTACTTATGTGTAATGGAGTGGTCCTCAACCTGATCTGCACATCTAAATTACCTTTAAAGAACACATAAGCATTTCTCTCTCCAAATTAATAGAGTAGTTCATGGTAAGCCAATATTCCTATAAAGAACACCTACAAAACCAGGTAACTTACTAAGATCTAGTTTTAAAGGCATGTAAAACTGCAAAAGTCATGAGGGCTAAAGGGGGAAAATTGAAAGACAGGAGTACCTTTCTAAGCTGTGTTGAAGATCTGACATTCATGCTTTTTCCATAGAAATCTTGCCAATTCCAGGTGAGGACAGCTGCTTGTGAATCAATAAAGCAGGTGAGATTTTGCTAGTCATGAGGAAAGGAAATGAGTTATTTGTAGAACTGGAAAATCTGGAAGAAATGTATAAACTTCTGGCTACATTTGACCTACCAAAAATTTAACCAAGATGATGTACAGCATTTAAATGTATCCATTTAAATGGATAACAATGACATTGAAGCAGTAATAGTCTGTAAACAAAGAAATGACCAAGACCTGATAGATTCTCTGCCAAATTCTACCAGATGTTTAAAAAGGAACTAAAAATTTTCCAGGAATTAGAAAAGGAAGGAACACTACCAAACTCATTCTATGAAGCCAGTATCACAGTCATTCCTAAACTAGGTGAGGACACACCAAAATAAAAGAGAGTTGTAGACCAATATCTATAGTGAACATAGATCCAAAAATTGTCAATAAAATTCTTACAAATGGAATTCCACAACATATCAAATTTGTTTCATTCCAGGGACTAAGGATTGTTCAACAAACATTAACCAATGGCCTTGGTCTATATGACTGTCTTTATATCATTGCCATGCTATTTTAATTACTGTAGCTGTGTAATATTTTGAAATCAGAAATTGTGATGGCCTAGCTTTGTTTATCTTTCTCAATAGTCTTTGGCTATTAAGCATCCTTTGTGAATCCATATTAATTTTACAATTGTATTTTTCTATTTTTGTTAAAATGTCATTGATAATTGGTAAGCATTGCTTTGAATCTACAAATTACTTAGGATAGTACAGATATTTTTAAATAGCTAATGTTTAACAACATTAAATCTTCCAGTACATGGACATGGATATGTTTGTATTGTTTGTATTTTGTTTATTTCAACAACGTTTTGTTATTTTCATGTGTATAAGTCTTTCATCTCTGTATTAGTCCATTTTCTGGTGTTAATAACACAATAACACAGACTAGATAGGTTATAAAGAAAAGACATTTATTTTGACTTATGGTGCTGGCCCATGAGACTGAAAGGTTGCATCTGGTGATGGTCTTATTGTTGGTACAGGGCATAACAAGAGACTGTGAGCACATGTGTGCACACCTGTGTGTGCGTGTTCTCCCTCTCTCTCTCTCTTTCCTCTTATAAAGTCCTCAAGGGTTACACCTTAAAGACCTCATCTAATCTAATCACTACTAGCCTCATAAAGTGAATTTAAATGTGTTCACTCTTCAATTTTTTGGAAGAGTTTGAGAAGAATTTAATTATTCTTTACATACCTAGTAGAATTCACCAATGATGTCATCTGGTCCTGAGCTTTTCTTTGTTGACAAGTTGATTACTGATTCATTCTCCTCAGTTTATTTAGAGTTTTTATTCTTCATGAAGCAGTCTTAGCAAATTTTATGTTTCTAAATATTTATTCTTTTTTTCTAGGTTATTAAATTTATTGGGGTATACGTGTTCACAATAGTCTTTTTTGTGTTTTTTGGTCATCAGCTTTAATGTATTCTCTTTAATTTCTGATTTTATTTATTGGAGTTCTCACTCATTTTAGTATACCTACAGGTTGCCAAAATTTCTCAGATTTTCAAAAATAATTTTACCTTTATTGATTCTTCTTTGCTGTTTTTATACTCTATTTTACACTAATATTTTCTCCATAATGTTAACATTTTTAGTTTCTTAAAGTATAAAGTTAGGGGTTTTATAGTTTTTACTTCCACTTAATCTATTTATCACTATATACTTCAATCATAGCATTGTTTTTCTGTATCTTATATGTTTTAGTATGTTGCATTGTTTTAGTATTGCCATTTTATAGATGAGGAAAATAAGGGACACAATTAGGTACCTTGCTCAAGATCAAAACACAATGTAAGTAACAGAACCAGGATTATAATTGAACTTCAGTGAAACTAGTCTCTATGCCAACAATGAGTTTTCTGTACCAACAGTCACTATCTTTTTCTGAGTTTTCATTTTCTTATCCATAAAAATCAAGCTATGAACTATACCACAAATAATCAAAACCTCCAGGCAAATGTTCTTTACAAGGAAAATTAAAATATTTGTGTCATGCATATTTTTCTAAACATATTTATTTATTTTAATCTAGAAGCATATCTACAATAGCACTTATGCATTCACTGTTACTTTTCTCTCACTGAAATATTTCACCTTTGGATAAGTTTCCTGACACTACACCATTTATGTGTATTTATGTGCTATTTATGTATACCAACTTCTAATACTGGTACATTGAAGCATTTTATTTGAAATTAAATATGCTTTGGTGAGTGGGATATAACCAGGATAATTCAACTTGACCGTGTGTGACAGGGGTACAATATTTGGAAAAAAGTCTGAACTAAGGGGTTATAAGATATCTTTTGAGTGAATGATTTCCCTTCTTCACTCCCAGCTAAAAATTAGCATGATGAAAACTTTGGAGAGGAGGAGGTGAGCTTTTACAGGGGACTTCATTTCTGTCTTGCTCGTTTGTTCCATGCTTATTAGTTCATAAAGTTGTATCGCTAGCAGTAAACTCTCAGTATGTGACTCCACACTATAGCAGGAGAAACTTTATTCAATCTACCAATTGCAGCTCTTGCATAAATACAGAGAAACAATCTGATGTGGAAAAAGGAGGTTGAGAAATTCATATATAAGCCACTGCATTTTCATTATTTTATGTTCATTTATTGTATATCTGTAACACTGTAATATGAGAACCTGAATTGCATTTCAACTATTTTTCACAAGGCAGAGGAAAGGGCATTTGTCATCCCAATCAAATTTTCTAGATTTAACTAATTAGGCAAAATACTAATGAATATACTACATAGATCCTTACTCTGTTTTGGATAATAATGAATCACTCAATGACTACATGAATGTTCAGTCACAGAATTGCCCTCTTACACAGATTGATAATAGGATCCAATCTTCATCCTTGCACAAGAGAAGGCAGTTCCAAGCCCACATCAATTATGTCTGGCTATATCACTTACTTATTTCCCATTGTAATAGGCACATGCAATTACCTCTATCCCAACTACACTTCTGTGGGGTCAACAACTTTCCCTAGGAAAAGAATGCTTCTGGTGCTTTTCTCCAAAATCATCAGCAAGAAGTTTCTATTAAGTCGGATAATAGGGTGAAGGAGATCTATTTCAGGTTGATCCAGATATTGAACTTCATGGCCAGCTACATCTTTGGTTCCTTCTTCACCAATGTGTAACATAGCCTTGTGGGCAACCTGTAGGGGAAGAACAAACATTGCTGGTCCCCAGAAAAAAGAGTAAGTCTTTGAGAGAGTTTGGAAGTAGAAAAGGAAAAGGAATGGAGGGAGCTACCCCTTTGCCATACTGTGTTGATGATGCTTAAATATGAAGGCTATTTAGATAAGTTTAGTTAATGAATCTCTGTGATTTGGGGACTAGTTATTAAAGGAAAACATCATACTCCATGGCCTTCTGCCTCCAGAAATTATGTCTTAAGCACATACTCCCACCTCCTCCAAAATTGTATCTCAGCAGAGTCACTTCTGATTATTAAGGTTTTTTCATTGGAATCATTTTAAAACATGAAGGTTGGGGGTGGAAAGAATTGAAACTTACTTATTTGGAGTTAATAGGAATGAATCTGGTATGATTGTGACCTAGGAGAAATCACACTGCCTCTCTAGATACCAAATTCCTCATTGGTAAAATGAAAGGAGCAAATTAGTTGATTTGAAATGTTCCTTGTAGCTTATATATTCAAGGACTCTTATCTATCAACTTACATAGGAAAGTTTTAGACCACTGTCTTCTGTGAGTCCAGAAAAATCAGCATTTTCAGCAAAAGCATCCTTGATGCCCATCTTCAGAAGCATAGTTCCAAGATCATATGTGGCAGAAATGGAAAACTTTGGAACAAACAAGTCAACCCACCTGTGCAAAATGAAGAAGGGGAGACATAGCAGTCCCTAGACCAAGCTCATGATTCTTTCCTCTCTCTCTCTCTCTCTCTCTCTCTCTCTCTCTCTCTCTCTCTTTCTCTCTGTCTCTCTCTCTTTCTCTCAACTCTGCTCTTTCCTTGAACATTGGTAACCATTTCTATATAGATGAACACATGATACCAAAACCACAAAAGTTATACTGAAAGAATGGTCTTTGTTCAGAAAATGGGATTACACTGGGAGTTGGGACATGTAACTCCCTTATTATCAAAATGAAACATTTCTGTGTTATTGGCCAAAGTTAGGGATCTAGTGACATGAAGGTCAATGGGTCGCACACACAAATCTCATGGTTTTCCATCTTGCATTCCCAGCCAAGAATGACTGCCCACTCAACTCTTAACATAAAAGTCTTATCCTCATCCCAAAGCACTAGATGGTCTCCAGGAAGCCATCAATTTATTAGCGAGCTGACTTTGGAGAGCTTACTTTATCTTTCTAGGCCTTTTCTAATTGGAAAAATGCTATTTATATGATCTCCTTTGCACATTTGGTAATGTACTTAGATGAAATGAAGTGTGTAAAGTGTCCAGCAAATGGCCTAGTACATGGTAAGTTCTTGGCATACTCTAATGACCATCCATCACACAGCTGTTAGGTGATTCTGTTGCCTCTGGGTTTCTGCTCAACTCAGTCTCACCAGCACTGTTGTGTCCACCTTACACCCCTCATACCAAGTCATTTACCCTTTCTGCAGTAAGTGGTTCCATTTCTTCAGTACTTTAGATGACATAGCTGCTTCCACCAATTCCATCTGTCCTTCCTTGGGAAGGACAAAGAGTGCCAGAGCATTCTTTCTGTAGTCCATTTGCAAAACTGTGCAGTTTAGCTCTATATCCACCAGGTAATAGTATTGTTCCTTCTGGTGCATCATGGGCACTTGCACTGTGGTAGTCCTGTCCACTAAGAAGCCAGAACTGTCTTCTGTCTTGGATAGATGGAAAGGATTTGCCCACTGAGCTTAAAACATGGAGAGAAGAGAGATATTTCCTTTAAACTATTAGTCATCTCATCTAGTCATTAACAGTACCTATTGTCAGCCAGTTTTACAAGTGAGTACCTGAGGATTAGGAACACAAAGTCACTTTATGTGGTCTCCAGTTACCAGGTGGCAAAGTCAAAAATCACATCCAAGGTTGTTAGACTCTATAGTCTGTGTTCAGAACCACTATACTTACTCTAAGCCCATCATAGCCGCAGTTCCTCTTCCACAAGAAAGGAATAAAGACATCCAACACACAGGGTAAAATGATGCAACAAATCTGTTCTGCGACTTTAGCCACCTATATGTATGTGGTTTGTGGTCAACAATTTTTCACTTCTCCACCAAATGTGACTGACATGTGTTGTTGAATCAGGAAAAATCACTTGGGCACAGCATCTTCAGAAAAAAAGTCAGACAATACTTGTTACTAGCACCAGCTTCAGAGTTAGACAGATCTAGCTGGAAAGACTGGCTCTGAAACTTACTAACTGTATGAATTTGGCTATTTGTGAGGATTGGATAAAATGATGTATGTAAGCCACACATCTAGCTAGTGTTTGACTCAGAATGGGTACATAAGAAATGAAAAAAGTGTTGTTTAATATGCCCAAATGTGCACAGCAAGTGATGCTTACAGTAGGGCTTATATACAAATCTGTCTACTTGCCAATACGGTCTTATAAAACCTTGCAAAATATTTTGAAAACCATGGTTCTTTACCTAAATATATGAACAGGATGTCCATACCATTTCACTCACCTCTCTGAAAAAGCGTTCTCCCTAGAAATTTCCTAGGCTCATTCACAGAGCTGTGTGTCTTTCCTGGATGATCCAACACCATGCACAGCTACTTCCCATGGTGCAAATCACTGTAGTATGAGGGACACCTACTGATGCCAGTAATAAGAGAGCATGAGCTCCCCCAAGGGCTCCACCAAAGTATCTGAACACTAGACTTGAAATTGACATTTTAGAGCCTTACCTTTGAAATGAATATAGTTCACCAGGACCATGATGGTATTCGGTTTAAGGTCTTGGATTAGGCCTACAATTTTCCCTTTGGTTTTATTCTCCACATAGCTGTTGATCTCCTGCTGGGCTGCAGAAATATTGGAGAAGTCAGTAGAGAAGATTTCAGTCTCATAGAGGGTCTTGACATCATCCAAGAATTTTGCCAATGGTTTCAACTGCTGCCTAATGAAGAGGGCATTTCCCATATTCAATTCCAGTTCCTTCTTTGGAAAATTCAATGAACAGATCAGGTGCTGGAAGCCCTGCTGTATCTCTGCCATTGGAGTGTCTGTGATGTTAAACCCCAAAACCTCCAGGACCTGAGTTTGGGTGCTTGAGCCAGCTCCAAAGGAAAGCATGGCCAAAGCTGCAGAAATGCTCACAGGGGAAAAGAAGATGTTCTGATCTGGAGTCTCCACAGTGAACCTCCGGTACAGATTGAATGCAAAGTCAGCATTGATGGATGACATTTTATAAAGAGTGGCATTTTGTTGGAGCAAGTGACAGTTAGTTCCTTTGCCTTCAGAGCTGTCAGGTGGTGCACAATAAATTGTAGTATGAAGCCAAAACATCAAAAAAATTAAATAGAGGAACTGTGACATTCTGGAATGAAGGTAATCTATAAAAGATGAAGTGAGAAACTCATTGGGGAAGCTTAGCTGGATGAAACACACTCTGATCCAGAGACACATAAAACTCACCCACTTTAGTCAATCAAACAATAGCAAATATTTGATGGTGTGCTCATCAAAGAATGGGTAGAGGTCTCTCCCCCCTACAAAACTGATAATACATCTACTGGGAACAAAGAATACAAGAAATTGCTTGCCAGAACCACAGAAATAATACAATAAACTTTCATTTAAAAGCAATAACATTTCTGTCCTTCATTATTTAAGTGTATATTTATTGTTGAAAGTCTTTTTGTCATGGTACTTCACCTGTGAATATATTGTAGTTTAATAAGATTAACTTTCTCTATTACCCTTCCTTACCCTTTCCTCTCTACTCAACAGCTTTCTGTGCATTTCATTATGTGTGCTTCCTACACAGATGCAAAATATTTGAATATTTTTCACTCTATATCATTCTCTTTTCCTCTCTCTCTTCCCCATAGTCTTCTCAAACAGACCTATGATTGCAAGCATATGATATATATGATCATATTTGTATTTTCTGTATACATTTCTCTTTTGGATCTACCACATATGAGAGAAAACATGTCACCTTTGTCTTTCTGAACCTGGCTTACTTCACTTAACATGATGATAGTGGGAAGGAAGAGTGAATGGAAATGTTAAAGGGAGGTGAATATGGTCCATGTACTTTATATACTTACATGAAAATAGAATAATGAAACTTGTTGAAATCATTTTAAATAGAGGGAACAGGAATGAGGGAGAATGATGATGGGGATCAACCTAACCAAGGTACATTAGCATACATGGAGGTATCACAATGCAACCCTTGTACAACTAACATATGCTAATAAAAATGTTTAAAATAAGATGTAATAGCAACATATGAAAATACTGAAAATAAATTAAACTTATAGAAACCTAATTACTTTTATTTGAACTAGAGGCAGCCTTATGAAGAGGAAAGAATCCTTATATAGAACTAGCACCCTTCTGCTTATATCATTACATGTAGGTTAGAATGTTGGAATGTGTGTGTGTTTATATTTTAATTTGGCATTTTCTTAGGATAACATCTATGAGATGAAATGAGAGAATACTGTACTTTCTTCAGCTGAAAGAAAAAATAAGATTAATTCCTAAAAGATATGATTAATTAGAATGGACAGATAATGGTTCATGGAGTCATATACAAAGTCATGAGTTGAATTTTTGCAGTTTTAAAATGTATGGAAGTCACAAGAGAATTTTCAAACAAGAAAATGGAAGCTTAATATTTTAGTTTTAGATCTCTGTTACCATCAGTATTATCTAAAGAGTCATTTCTAGATTTTAAGATATATTAACACTATTATTCTTATGCTATTTTTCTAATTATTAGAAAGGAAGCTAGAAAGTATAAGGTTTACTGAGCCTGAAGGAGTACAAGGAAACAGCAAGAAAGTCAGCTGTGGAGTCACCAATGCCCACAGACTAGTGGCTGGAAGGAAGAGATCCAAGTAACCAAGACAACGCTCCTTCTTCTGTCTTCCATCTTCTTCCTGAGTGATCTCTTTCCATACACTAAACTGTTATTTCACAAGATTCTTTATCTGTAATCCACACTCTTCTCCCAAATTCTCAGTCATCTACCCAGCTGTCTATTGGACATGCCCATTAGGAGTTTCCAAACATAAATATCCTCTCTCCATCCCTCAAACCTAATCCTGTATCTTCATTCTACATCTCAGTCCATCCCACCATTGACTATGGAGAACTCCATGTCAGAAACCTGGAAGTAATCCTAAGGGCTTTCTTCATCTTCATTCCCCACTTCTAATAAATCGGGATGCCCTATTAATGCTGTCTGAACACCTTGCAAAATGTCCCCCTTCTCTACGTCCCTAATGGTCTTGCCTCAGTTCATGATCTTAGCTATTACATAAGCTCTTAGCAAGTCACACTGCCTCCTACCTCCTCCATCCCAATATCCCCTCTTCCACCACTTTAATCTCCATATTTTCACCAAAGCATTCTTTCTGTAAAAGTCACTGAGGCTGTTTAGAAGGTCAATTATCAAGGTATATGTCATATATACCTTGCCCCTGGAAATAGTAACTTGGTGCTCACAGTTATTTGGGACTCTGACTTGCTAATAGAAATGTTCGAAGTTCCCAAAGAGAAAAAAATTACTTACGGCACATGCTCAAGAAGTCACTTGCATCTCTCAGAATGAGAATGCAACAACTTTCCATTTTTATAACATGCCCTCTATTGCAAAACTGGAACACTCTTAGTTACAAATTAACCCTGACATGAACCCTGGGATAACATTTTCAAAGTTGATGCACACAACCAAGGCCAAGAGGAAAAAAAAGTAAAGGTGATAAGATTTGAACTTTGAGTAACTGCTTTGGCTACTAGATCCTTAAAAAAAAGAGGAAGAGAATTGTCAAAGTGGTGGAGTCCAGGTTCACACTTGGAAAAAGTGTCTTTTCAGAAGGCACAATGATAGCCATGGGCAAGTCAGCAGGAGAAAGACAGTTCTTATCACCAAGGCCAAATAGTGCTGGAACTAACAGCCTTTTGAGAGAAAGGTCCAATATGCAGAAGCTGGGTGAACCTCTTTAATGAGTGCTGTAGAGATAATTTGTACATTGGTGGAGGAAATATCAAAAGTAGTTTCTAACCCCAGACTTCCAATGCTACACACATGTCTGCCTTCTCATGGGGAAACCAATCCTGTCCTCTGGTCATTGAAGTTCACTGTATCCTCCCTTGACCAGAGACAACAAAAGCAGATGCAGAAGGGTCCAAGGAAGGTGGAATGAAAAATTCCACTATCCTGGATTAACTGTATACTGACTATGTGTGAAGAAGCAGTGGGAGCAGAGAGCATTGGACTCAGTCCGGAGAGCTGAGTTTACCCTTGCCTCTGTCTGTTTCTAGTTGTAGTGGTAGCAGTGTAACAGATACCTTTGTTAACTACCACAGGCAGTATATGACGTGAAGCACCTGATTTCAGGCACTTCCAGCTTCAGGACCATATTAAGGATGGGTGGGTTAAATTAGGGGTAAGATAGTATGGAACTGGTCCTAGTTTGAGCTAAGTCTAGATGCAGTCTATGGTGGGATTTGAAAGTCAGGATGAATCATTCAGACTCTGAAGCCACTGGGAAACCACCAGGGAATTTTGATAAGACAGTGACCAGAGAGAGAGAGAGAGAAAGAGAGAGAGAGAGAAAGTGACAGTTCTGTGCACTGTTTCTTTTCAATCAAATACAGCCTGAGCACCTATTAGGTGGAAAGCACCACACTCAGTACTTGGATTTCAGAAGTGAAGGCTTAATATCAGTCCTAGACACAAGCGACCTTTCTGACTACTTGGAACTCATTGCCCAAACTAAACAGAAAAGGGTATATCTCATATATGGGCTGTTTGCTGGTGCATGGGTCCCAAAGAAAGGCAGTGGCAAGATTAAGTCTTTTGAGTGCTAGTCATTCATACTCAATCTTGGTAGTACAAGACATTACCTGCTCTCTAGGCTACAGCAAGTTCCTGCAGAAAAAACAGGAAAAGAATATCTAAAAAGAAAATGTAGGAAATGATAAAATAAAAAGAAAATATGTAATATAACAAAATGGAGTTCTACTCAGCCGTAAGGAATAATGACAAGTTGTTTGAAGGTAAATGGATGCAATTGGAGGAAATCATGTTAAGTGAAGTAAGCCAGGCCCAGAAAGACAACAACCACATGTTTTCTCTCATGTGTGAAAGACAGATCCAAAAGACAAACAATATACACAAAAGCAAACATGATCATATACAAACTCAGATGTAGAATAGTGAAACTACTCTATGGAACTTTGGGACAGAGGGAAAGGGAAAGAAAATGATAGGACATCAGTAATATAATAAAACATATGATCTTTAAAGGTAGAGGATATAAGGACGTGTTTTGAAAGCTGTGGGAAAATAAGAGGTGGGAGGTAAAGGGGTAAGAGAAAGTAATGGAAAGGGTTGAATGGAACAAAGTAAAGTATACTCACAGTGGGCATACATGGAGAAAACCCTTTAAACATCAACTTAAATATTAACAACAAAAGACAGAAGTGTAAAATAGGTACAATGTGGGAGGCAGTACTAGTGGGAGGGTGACGGTGAAGGAGGTTAAAGTGAGGGTATGTCCTTGATGGACTTCATATACCTGCATAAAATAGAACAAAGAAACTTCTTGTAATTGCTTTCAGTGAATGGGGAGGGGGTAGGGGAAGAAAAGATAGGGGAAAATGTAACTAAAGTACAATATAAGTCTAATCGGAATTGTCATTATGAATCCCCCCCATAACAAATATACCCTAATAAAAAAATTTATGAAAAAGAAAAAAGAGAACTTCCAACCCTCTGCCCTCTAGTGGCATAGTCAGGCAATAGCAGAGGTTCTTATTGGGTATTTCTGATTCAGATGATGTGCTTTGCAAATAAGTAGTAAATGTACAACTTGTCTCTGATATAGAAGAAAGGCACCCTTCCTCATGCTATCTCTCTTGCCCTTTGCTCTGGTATCAGAAATGATAACCTGTGATCCTATGGTATCTCTGCTATTTATTAATCATGTAATTCAATACAAATTACTTAATACTGCTATTAGTTTCTTTACTCTAAAGTGGAAGTGACAGTAATCCCTATGTCATGTGTTTATTGTATTAAATGGAATTTTAAGCTGTGCATTATTCAGTTTTCTACTACTATGACAAAATTCCTGAAGCTGGGTAATGTCATAAGGAAACAAGGTTTATTTAGCTCTCAGTTCTGGAGGTTAATGGACATGGCTCCAGCATCATCCTTGCTCTGGTGAGGGCTTTATGGTAGAAGGTATCACAATGATGGGACTGTGTGCATGAGGAAAAGATCATATTACCAGATATTAAATCAGTGCCCAGGCTCAGGTTTTAATATCAACTAACTCTCATGAAAACTAATTCAGGGATTTCATGAACACTACCTTAATCCCTCCTAAGGGCATCCTTAAATGACCTAACTTTCTTAAAGTTCCTACTTACCTCTATGCTGCGTCACTGAGAATCAAACCTCCAGCACATGTACCCTAAGGGGACACATTCAAACTATAGCTAAACCATAGCAAAGCAGTGTCCAGAAACTCCTATCATGTACTGGGAATCTAGAAGCTGCTGGTTCTCTTTCCTTTCATCTGCTGTCATTGATTCTTTTCTCTGAACTCAAGTCTCCATGGTCCTGGGCTCAACACTCCCTCCCACTACTGTTCGGTTCTGCTTTAAGCAAACATTTTCTTTAAAATGAAATTGTTTTATAATATGTAAGCTCATCTTGTAAATTTAACTTTAACACAATTTCAGTATTGTGCAAAACTGTTAGAACTAGCAAACTAAATATAGAATGTCTTGGAAGTATTACCATATCAATAAATCAACCAGACTAAAATTTTTAATATTCTTGTTTGGATAAATGCCGTTATAATTCATTCCAACACAAATTTTTCTGAATTTTACTTTAGAAATGTTTGAAGCTTCTCAGTTCCTATAGTGTGCATACTCTTTGCCCCTGACTTTGATTTCCTACCTTAGTCTGGTAGAAATTATGGGCTCTTACTCCACATATAGGTATAGAAAAATAATGGGTGTGGAATGGTGGAAATTAGGGAAACTGACGTTTTCTTGCAGTCTAAGTCTTACAGACAAGTCAAATACTGGGTCCTTAAACAAAGAAGAAACAACCTCATGAGACTAAGAAAAGGGTTGCTCTGCTGGATGGGAGTCTCAGTGAGCATTTGGAGTTGAGGTTCTTGAATTCTCTCAATTTTCTTATTGGTAGGTTCTTACTGTTTATTTCATTGACTAACCTTGACAACATTGATCCATCAATGCTGTGAAACCAACTAATTTCTGTAATTTGATAATTCACAGGATCAAATGCTTTGCATACATGATTTGGCTAACTTAGCCCTCCAGCTGCATCTCAAGAACTTTGTTTGCACATTGCCTACCTTCAGAATAGCCACTGAGCACTTGAGCCAAGAGCTTAGGCTGTGAGCATATAATTATTTATTAAGCTTTCAAGTAGTATTCAAAGCTTCCATTTCATCTCACAATCTTTGAAATCATTATTTCCTTCAAACTTCTGTATAGCTGCAATAATGTCTTCCAAAGCCATGCCTTCCAAAGTTTACCCATTTCAGAGGCTCTCTTAATTAATTGCTTTGCCATTTCATTCTATTCCAGGGGAATACAACACAGGAGCTGTCATACTTCCCTGTATAATGTGACTGGTCCTCCGACTCCTAGCAAGAGTAGCTACATCTTGCTGTAAGCCACCATTTAGTTCTACATGCCACACTGCAGCACAACAAGCCCCTTCTCACAGTCAGGTAGTGACTGTCAAGGTCAGCAAGACCCCTGGAGCAGACATAAATATGTATTTTTTTAGGATCTGTGTTTTATATTTGAGCCTGAAGTTATTTCTGCTGTTTTTGAGCTTAGGTGGCACTCTAGTCCAGATTTCTCCTATAGACTTAGAGGCCTAGGAAAGCAGAAACCCCTGTATTTTTATATCTCCAAGCCCCTAAAGCCTTCCTCCCTATGTGCTAAGCAAGTCTGAGAATCAGTATAGGCCCAGGAATATGGTTGTGAATTTTATGCAGATTTGCACACACAGGCCTACAGGTGGAAAATGTGGGTTGCACTGCAGATGAAAGTGGAGGACACATCCATTTGAGAACTGTGATACAACCTCTGAGAAGAGGAAAGAGATACACTGTGTGGGAAGACTACGATGTGGGGGGCAGCTAGGCCAGAAACTGTAATGGCTGAGACATGCAGGATCACTCAGCGATTGTTTGGATCTGACTATTTTGTACACCCTCAGAGCCCAGAGGGATTTGGTGGAAATGCAGTCACTTCTAGGGCATTTTCCACACCCATGCCTATATTGGCAGAGCACCTCCAGTGCGAAAAGGCATGCAACATGGTTGTCCACAGGCTCAGCTTGTTGGAGCAGATTTGAGGATGGCTGCTGCACTCCCTGTGTTGCCAGGCCAGCGTACAGGGAAAACAGGCAACAATTCAGTCTAGCAGCAACCACAGTTGCTCATTCACACCTGCAGGAAAAACAGAGTGGAACTCAGCCTGGAAACTGCCCTTTCTGGTATAGCCTGAAACTTCAGAGAGAAAATGCCTCAATTTTCCTT